GTAGGACGTTTTCTGGAGCAACAACAACTTTTTTTGTTTGGTACCATTGCTCCAGGAAACGTTTTCAGCACTGGTACAAATTATCCAGTGCCACATCACTGCCCTGTTGGCAACAACGAACTGCAGCTCTAGGAAATGCCAAATTTGGCGTTACTCCAAGCCATGGCTTCCCAATTTCCGAGGCGTGACTTGGAGCACCGTTTTTTATGGAAAAATGGTTATAAACAAATGCCCGTTTCCTGGAGCACTGTTTTTTCCGATGTGGCGCTGATGTAGTGCCCTTGCTCCAGGAAACGGCAATGATGCCAAACAGCCGCCAAATACCTACCATCTTTCCTCTTTCCCTTCGAAAGGAATAATCACAAGTTATTATCATAGAAAGAAGAAAGAGGAGAGGTGAAGAGTCCTCCCACCACAAAGTTTACACGGATTCTCTATTCTTGTTTCTTGCAAATGCGACTATTTATCTTTAAATTAAATAATTAAAAATATAACGAATCAAAATTAAATCATCATGGGTCTTTATTGTCTCTCATAAAATCCTTTTTTTACTCTCTCTAATGATATCATTCCTCTCTCTCTCTCTAATTAAAGATGGATTGGGTTAAGTTAAGGGCCAAATATGAATCCTAACATAGACCCAAACTAATGTCAAAACCCAGATTTATCCACCCAAATTAACCAATTTTCCATTGAACCCCATGAATTTGCATGGTTTTATTTGCTAGTTATCAAATACGGTACAAAGGATCTCCTATGGCCTCTTTATAGCATAATGCATCTAATTTGCATATTTACCTAATATAAAAAATATACTTTTGTCTCATTTACACTTATGGGCTTCAGTGCAAATTTTGCATCATATCATATCCTCCTACCTCAATTCCCTCTCATATAAATTTAGGCCATTTTTGTTTCACTTCTCATTTTTTTCTCATTTTTACCTAAGATGAAATTCTAAAATGAATAAGTATAGGTAAAAATAGGCAGAATGAGAAAATATTGCTATGAACCACACTTTTTTCCTGAAAATTAATTCTTTTCAGACTGACAAGTGTCCTATGTTGCTTATTTTCATTCTTAAAATAAAAAAGACTATACCGGTATTCATAATCTACCAGTCTAGGTCTCCAAAACTGTTGACATAGATGTTTACCGACGGATGGCCGATAATCAATGTTTACTAGTTGGCATAGATGTTTTGTAAAAGTACTTTCATAAAAGTGTTCGTAAAAAGTACTTCCGTAAAAGTGCTTTTGTAAAAGTACTTTCATAAAAGTGTTTTAATAAAAGCACTTATATAAAAGTGTTTTAATGTAAAAGTACTTTTATAAAAAAAAGGTTTTTTTTTTCCGCAAAAATAGCAAGGTAAGGCACATAATGCCCTTGGAACATATGGATCTTGAAAAGTTACTCAAAATATAAAGAAGATAACCCCAATCAGACATCAAAGTGCAAAGTTATGGCTTCTAAAAATTTGCACATAATTAAGTGCACAACCTGTGAATTGGTTACTAGGTCGAATGGGTCAATGATTGAACTGCCCAACTAAGACGGTTTTTAACCAAAAGGGGAGTTTCAATAGAACCAAACCTAGAATCAAGGCCGAGTGATGGTTCGAACGGTTCAATCGGCTAAGTCAACAACAAGTTGAAAACATTGATGATAAATGAGAAATGTTTTTATTAGTGATGGAAATGAAATGTAAAATTTAAAATCAATTGGAAGTAAAACTATTTTCCTATTATCTCTCATTAAATATCATATCTAAGGTATATTCACTTATTAAATCCTATATTTAAGATATATTTTTTTTCATCATTAAATTCTACTAATTAAATCCACAACATTAATTTTAATAATATAAAAATAAATATTTTGAAAAAATAATTTGAAAACAAAATCATTTTTTTCCCTCTTGGTGGTGGGTAAGCAATTCAACCATTTGGGGTCAAATCCGTTAATAAATAATGCCATAATTAACTAATAATAAATTAAAATAAATAAAATATATAATACAAAAAATAAAAATAACTAGGCATGTCATTAATATTATATATTAATTATACTGAACAAAAATAATTATGAATGTAAGAAGTATTTTTGTAAATGATGAAAATGGAATGCCAAAATTAAAACCAACCTAAAATGAAATGATGCCATAGTTAAATAATAAAATTTTTAAAAATAGTAAATACGAAGAACCACAAAAATAAATATCATACATACGATATAGTTTTATCAATAGTGGAAATGTAATAAAAAATTTAATGTCAACCTAGAAATCAAAGTATTTTTATTTTTGGGTCGTGGGTTAGTGGTTTGGGTCAAATGGATTAATCGATGACATGATAGTTAAATAATAATAAAAAAGTATAAGTAATAAAAAAAATATATAAAAAATTATATATTAATTATGTCAAACAAAAATGAAGTGTGATAAGTAAAAATTATGTATACAATGTAGATGAAATATATAATTTAAAACTGATTTGAAAGCAAAACTATTTTCTTATTTAAATGGGGGGTCAATGATCTAACTTTTCAAAGAAATTTATGATGTCATAATTGAATAATAAATATTTAAAAAAAAAGATAGAACACAAAAGATAAAAAAATATAGAGTTTTGTTAAAGACATTTTGGAACATTTCTAATGTTATATAATCATCATATTAAATAAAAATAATTGTTAAAAATTATTTTTATTTAAGACAAAAATGGAATACAAAATTTAGTAGTAATAGTAGTATAGTAGTAGTAGTGGTAGTAGTAGTAGTAGTCAAGGTTCAAAGTATCGATACAATACGCTCCGTATCGGGTCTACCGTATCGTATCTTTTGAAAATGATACGGTCCAAAAAACCTGTCTCCATTTGTTTCAGACCCCCAATTTTTTTTTAATAATAAAAAGCATGCTAAAAGCTTCCCCAAAAACCAAAATTTGAAAAAAAAACTAAAAAAAATAGAGTTTTAGCTGTTTCTAAGTGCCAATATGATATGGCCAAAACTCGTATCGTATCGATACTTTGAACCTTGGTAGTAGTAGTAATAACAATACTACTACTACTACAATAATAATAATAATAATAATAATAATAATAATAATAATAATAATAATAATAATAATAATAATAATAATAATATTTTTAGAATATTAAAATGTTTTAAAGAACAACACGACATCGTTTACTCCAGATAAGTGAGGAATATTAACTATTGAACTTAAGCCTGTGTTTGCTGCTCAACCCACACCCAACCCAACCCAACCCACCCATTTTCCAACTTCCATTAATGCATCCTGTTGAAGCGCAACGACGTAGACTGCTCAACTGGGGGCCCAAAAGACTGTCACCCATAATTCAATTGGGGGCCCAAAATTGGACTCCATGTAGATGATGACTTTGATGAATGCGGGCCATGAATAACAAACCCATCTGTATCAAAAAACAATAAAAAAAAAAGGAAGGGTGCAATCACATGCTCGATGAAAGTTTAGCCCATGATGCCGTGAGTATGACGCAATATTAACTTTGGCATCAACATTCAGCCCATGGGCCTTATCATCTTTGCCTAATTAATTATCACCCAACGTCTATCATGAAAAAGGAAAGGACCACTGTGAAAGTACACTCATGGACAGGCATGATGTTTTTCATACCCCATATTGGGGCCTATTCCTTTCCTCTCAACTCTTATCTCTTAATAGGAATTTTTAATTTTAAGAGAAAAATAATTGTTAGTTTCCTCTTATCTCTTATCTTTTAAATTGTAATCATACAATTTTTTGTTTTTCAATGATATCCCTAAAAGACAAATAAAAACTTTCGTATATGGGGTCAAAATGGATATTTGATAATTTCAGAATTCAGAATTCAGAGTTCAGAACAACATTCTCTGTATTCAGAGTTCAGAGGAAAGAAAAGTTCACCAATACCAATATACCTCTTAATGTAATTATTGCACTTTTAGATGTAAGACTTCAGAGCAAACGAACAAGCTGTACCATGGGTTGGGGCCTCTACCATAATATAGGTATCATATTTAATGTTTATATATAAAATATAACATGAAATAATATATAAATATGTATAAATAATATATATATATATATCATGATTTTCAAAACTGGACCGAACTGGATGGTCGGACCAGACAAACCGATAATCGGCCAGTTGATCAATTCCGTTTTACCCCATAACTGTTATTTCACCAAAAACCGTTGATTTGGTTAGCAAACCACTGACCCATGTGGTCAAACCATTAGAACCGTCCAACGGTTTTAGCCATTTTTTAAATTTTTTAAATTTTTTGTTAAAATGGACTATCAGTTCAATTCGAACAGTTGGACCGTTTAACGCAAGAACTGAACCAGTTTATATATATATATATATATGATTGGGGCTGAAAATGATCACCCCTGGCCGAGATGGACTAAAAGAATCAATTAACACAATGATATTTTCTGTATTTGCAGTGAAAATCTGAACCATACACAAAATTTGTACCTAATTCAAATTTGCATCCATTTATTTATAACAATAATTTTTTCCCCTGAACTGTACTTAATATAAAATAATTTGCACCTATTGTCTCATTTTCCTTTATTGACAATGTAGATTTTGCATCACAAGATCTAATACAAAATGAGCACCATGCACCTTTCTTAGGCCTAATTCATTTTGGGGGAAAAATAGATGGGTCCCACTTCCCACAGAAATGCGTTGCCATTATAACGGGACTCATGATAATTTCTTTTTTCCAGAAAGCATTGAGAATGAATAAGTTATTTATCCATTTGTCAAAAAAACTCCAACCGCCTTATTTTTCACACCTTATGGAGATAATCTTTGGCCAAACTTAGGAGTTGGTATAACACCATTTGCACTCCCATGCATCCATCCAATCAAAATAAATGGAACCCTAAATGCATCAAGAAAAGAAAACAAGTCCATTGATCGATCGTCAAATCCAAAATACATAAAAGTTAAAACCATCATCCTTCATGATCAATATTTCAATTAAACAACAAACATTATAAATTCCCCACAGTGAGACAAATATATACTCGGTTAAATTAACACACAAAATTAAAGGAAATGAAGGAGTACGTAAACGCAAAAGAAAATTCATGTGGAGTTGTCTGAGCTTGAATAAGTGACGGTGAAACCGATCGACCTTCTCAACGTTTCTGATACTTGTACAACTTTGTACAGATTAGATAATAGACGAAGTTAATCGCTCCTACCACAACCAGCATCCAGAAAACTTTATCTAGTCTCCCGTGATTGATATCATCAGGCAACCACCCAGTGACTCTCCGAGTCAAATCGATCACTACAGTGCTCAGATAAAACCCAACTGCGGCAAGCAATGAGACCATGGCGGTGGCCGTACTGCGCAAACTGGCCGGAAATTCTTGGTAATACAGCTCTACTTGTCCTGGGAAGTGGAACGCCTCGCCGGCTCCAACTAAGGCGAGCGGTGCCACCAAACACAGCGCAGACATGGGCACGATTGATCCGGGTTGGTCGTCAAGGTGGTGTGATCGGGCCACATGGAGTCGCCTGGACTCGACTATGGCTGACGCTGCCATGGCGGTGATGTTGAGGATGTGGCCAATTCCTACTCGCTGAAGTGGTGTCATAGTTCGACGTGTCAACTTGAGCCACGTTGGATAAAAGAAGCGATCCATGAAGCATAGAGAGAGGGCTGTGGAGATGAGAAGAAAGACGAGGAATGAACCAGCTGGGATTTTGAAGTGTGGCCCGACGTGACGGTCCATTCTTAGAGCTTCAAGGATGATTAGGCTGGTTAGGATCCCTATTGGGACACTTACGAAGATGCCTGTCGACCACAATGGAGAAATTCTGATTAGGGCTTTTAGGTCCTCTACTTCCTGCACTGTGCACAGTCTCCATTGATTTGCAGCTGAGCCGTCTACTCTGATGTCTTCTTCACTTTTCAGCGCTGCACGGTTTAGGAACCTGCACATATTGTAGAGTATGGACTAATTTATAGCCTCTTTAGTGAAGTGTGTGTCTCTAAAGAGGACAAAGGTTGAAAACCAATTTATATTGATGACCAACACAAGCGTTTCTCTACCAAACCCAACCATGCATGAATGTGAAAGTAGTACAGTAGAAATTTAGCTAGAGGGATTATTTCATCTTACTTGAAGCTTGGAGTTGGAGGTGGGTATGGCAGCTTTGTAAGGTCACCATGTCCGTAATAGTAATCCTGGGTCTGGCTTGAGACTGCAACCTTCCTCTTCCGAATGGTGGCGACTAGTACGCGTGCTAAGCTGGTGAATGGGCTTCCTTTGGGTTTGGCGTGACGAAAGTAGCGTTTCCCAATCAAGAAAGCGAGCAGGCCAACGGTGTTAGCACCGATGGCTATGCCATAGCCCCATCCCCAGCCCACGTTGTCCTCAACATAGACGATGACCGTAGCGCCAGCGGCCGACGCCACGTACAGTATGAAGAAGTACCAGTTGAAGAAAATGCCTTGATCCTTGGCGTTATTGAACTGATCGGCGCCCATGGTGGCTGTGGTGAAGCGAGACCCTCCCATCCCAATAGCGCCCAAGGCGATGGCTGAGTAGAGCAGTCCGTATTGGAGCTTTGATGGGGTTTTGCAACTCTCTGCTGCTGCCGCTGATCCAATATTCACACATGGTGGAGGCTTCAGGCTACTCGATGTTGCTGTTATGGTGAACAGAATCACAGCCTACAAGTAAATATGGAGATGCCTTACATATGTTAATGTTGAGTTACGTTCTATGACAGACTAGCTAACAGCTAATTAATGCGATTGTTTACAAGTTATTATTTCACTGCAAGTGATGATAGAGCTAGCTATAACTACCAGCAAAGAGATAAATGAGGAAACAGATATGACGGGGAAGCAGCCCAAAGAGTCAGCGATGATAGCTCCGGCAATGGGGAACAAAGTGGCGCAACCGCTGACTACGTTGTAGACTTGGGCTGCATCGATGCTCTTGACGTTGAATTGTTGGATAAGATATACAGTGAGGTTGCTCAACCATCCACTGGATGCAAGCGTCAAACCCAACGTGCTAACTGCCGATTCCCGTCCGATGCAACAACAGCTATATGTCGTTAGATACTACACATTGAATCCATAAATATTTCAGACATGATATTAAAACAGAGTAGAGAGAAAGAGAAATTAAGAAAGAAACCTGTGATAAAGGGGAAAGTAATCCAACCCCCTTGTTTGTTACCAACAATGGTTGTCTGTGCTTCATTGTCCAATGTAGGTTCGCATGAAAGCTTTCTGTCAGGCCGTTCCAGCTTGGTGTCTGACATGTTTGATGTTTCCTCTTCGGAGGATAAAAAGATGGAAGGGAATAAGAGTATAATTAAAGTAAGAATAATAACCACTAAATAGGGCTATATATACACACAAAGGTGCGTGACCAGTGGTGGTTTCACGTTGAGAGCTGATGCAAGTAGGGCCTATCAACCGATTACATGACATCCAAATACTTTGAAACCTGCTTCTGTTTAGTAATCTGATGGAATGCAGATTTGGCCTGCATCTATCTATCTATTTAAATATTCATACTAAATACAATATGCTATATTTATATATGTACGTTATTTTTATTTTAATAGTAATAGAACAGAATGGACTGAATTCAAATTAATATGATATTTTGAATTTAGAATCAGGTTCGAATTTATAATTTCAACAATAGAATTGGATTCTGATGTAGTTCCATGCATTGGAACATGTTTTTATTTTATTAATTTATTAATTTTATTGTTTTTTAACTTTCTCCATCTTTAGAATAATTTCTGTCTTTCCCCACCCCTGCCCGAAATCCAACTTTGGTGTGCAAACGTGTTCATCGACAGAATTGGCTCCAACTTCAAAGGTTCGTGGGGTGTCTTTTTCTTGGTTTTCAGTCTCGCTGAGGAAGAAAAAGAAGAAGAAAGAAAATGGTAGAAATTGTCGTTCCACTTGCAGAGGAGTACGAGAGGAGGAGGATCAGGGTTTTGAAAGACGATGAGATTGATTTGTTCTTGTTTGTCAGTTCTGGCACGGCCGATCGATGCGTTCTCCTGGGCGAAGAAAGCTGCGGAGGATAGGTTTCAGCTTGCAAAGAGGGTTAGAACCCAAGACTGATTTGGGTCTTGCTACCATCAATGGGCTGAACCATCTAACCTGCGGTCAAACCGGTAAAACTATGATTAAATTTGAGCTTTTGGCTCAGTTTGGAAAGAGTACAAATACAAATATGCAGAGTAGGAAACCTTGTATTTTATATTATTTTATATGTATTTGTGCTGTACATATTTATATTTGTATTCTTTTCAAACTGAGCCTTTGGGTTTTTCATGTGCTCTAAGTTTGACAACATTGACCTATAACATTAGCCGTAACAAATAGGCCGCATCTCAGTCCAGCTCTAGAAAATGTTCGTCTCCTTGGCATAGACAAAGGCTGTAAATCAACTACATACATTGTGAGGTTCAAAATATCAATATACCCGATACGCCATAGGGGTGTATTGGGCCATATCAGTACTTTTTTTTTACTTTTTTATTTTTTTCAAAACCGGTTCAGGGGTGCCGATTTAAAGCTCTTCCACCCTCTGAACCGCTCAGAACCCCGAAATGATACATATCGACCGATATGAGCCGATACGTGTCAATACTTTAAACCTTGATTCTGACAAGTAGGAAGTAGCTATAGTTGAAAATTTCCTTCATTTTTTGCATTGGAGCCCGATATGGGTCGATACGTGTCAATGCGGACCGATATGGGCTGCACGCTGTTCTCAACGTCATCATAAACACAAAGAAAACCACAAGATAACTATTTAGCATTGGAGCCCAGTGGACTCAGACTGCCCATACCCTTGTACAGGGCATACCATTGAGAGGAATTCGGATTTGTTCCTTACAGAGTGCGCCTCATACCAACCTCACAGTACGTTGCAACCACGCAAGAACATCACCCATGAATGATAACTTACAAGTATGGAAATGTTCCAGATATACAGCCCCAATTCTGTGAGGTTGGTGTCAGGAGTGCTATTTAAAGAGAAAATGGGTAGAATCATAGAAAATGGGTAGTGGTCACTACACAACAAGAGAAAATGGGTAGTGGGTAGAATCATAGAACCCAGGGAAGCACCAGTGCAATTCTCATCAGTGGTCTGAAAAAGCATAAAAGATAAGAGAGAACATGTGCCATAATTGGGCCCACACTATTTTGTGGTTCCTTGAATAAGTTTCTCGGTACAAAATGTTGGGAATTGACTTCTAGAAATCTGGAGATGAAATATATATACAATCCAGCTTTTGGAGCTCTGCATTCTGCAATAATGCAACCCAACAAAAGAAAAGAAATCCTCCACATTTATGTCATGTTAGGGTGAATTAAGAGGGCATAGGATGCAATCCGGTTGAGTAGCTTCTCCGTTGTCTCATTTCATCATGTAGGAGTGCCTTTATATATATGGGCAGTGAACAGTGGACAGTGGACAGTGGACAGTGGAGGGGAATGAGTGCCTATATATATAGTGTGGCCCAAATGTCCAATACAAAGCTTTCTATTTGGGTAAGAAGTTACTTTTTGACTGCTCAAGCCCAAAGAGATTTCTGTCTTATGATAAAAGTGGAGGGGAAAGCTTTTTTTTCTTTTCCGGTAAAATATAAAAACCTCTTTTGAAGTTTCTAACAATCATAAAAGCCTCCTCTCTAATGTCATGTTAATAAATACCTCCCCTGAACTTTTGAGAAACTTGACAAAAACCTTTCTTCTTTCATCTTCTCAGACGGAAAAAGTTAGACTGGTGTAGCAGTTTCTTCCAAATATCCATTCTACCCTTTTATAAATTATTTTACATACAAAATTACTGAGTAACCATGTTTTAATTCGATTAAAACATTAGAAGATGATTGTTAAAAGGAGATTTTTGTCAAGTAAAAACTGGGGTTATTTCAGTAATTTTGTATGTAAAATAATTTATAAAAGGATAGAATGGGTATTTAGAAGAAATTGATACATTAGACTAACGTTTTCCATCTAAGAAAGTGATGAAAGGGAGTTTTTTGTCAAATTTCTCAAAAATTCAGGGAAGATATTTGTTAAATGAAAATAGAGGGGAGGTTTTTATGATTATCAAAAACCTTAAGGGAGATTTTTGTATTTTACCCTTTTTATTGCTGCAGTTTTTTATTATATATGGGTTGCTAGAAATGATGCTTTAAGTCAGTGTTTTGGATTTTATCTCATGTTTCGAATGTTATCTCCTGGGATTGGTAAGGAAACGATGATAATGTTCAAGGATATTTTGCTATTGGTAATCCGAATTAATGAACCAGAATTCTAATATTGGTTTGGGAATTTGTACTAAGTTTGATGCTGATTGTTGTGCAAATAATTTGGGTTCGTTCGGTTTATTTGTTATTAATAACAATTAGTTTTTGTCAGTTGCAGGTGGTCTTTTGGATAAGGTAAATGATGTTTTAGAAGCAGAACTCGGAAGTATTTTGCAGGCTTTTGCTTTTTGCTAAAAGGGCTAATTGAAAGATCATCATTGTCATTGCTCCAGAAAACGGTGATACATCAGCGTCACATTGGAACCGTTTCTCTATAAAAAATGGTACTCCAAGCCATGTTTTGAAAATCGAGAAAGCGTGGTTTGGAGCAACACCGAATTTGGCGTTTCCTGGAGCTGCAGCTCGTTGCTGCCAACAGGGACATGAGGTGACAGTGACAGGGACATGTCGTGGCACTGGATAATAGGTACCAGTGCTGAAAACATTTCTTGGAGCATTGGTACCAAACAAAAAACACTGTTGTTGCTCCAAGAAATGTCCTACCTGACAGTAACATTTACAAACAAAAAAAGACACCATTTTCTCATAAAACGGTGCTTCCAACCTATACATCAGCATCGATGCCAAATATATACTATTAGTGTAAAATCTGTTTGCTTGAATACCATCCGAATGTTGAATGGAGCTTGTGAAGTCTCACCTTGGTCATCTTTAGTTTTTTTTTAAATATAAAATTAAAGATGTTTTAGAGTTTTTTATTCTTTTATGTTCGTTTATATTTCTATAACTTGTAATACTGAGGCCTATCAGGCTGCCCAGGAAGCAAGAAAAAAAAAGGCATTCAAGAATGGTGGTTTCTTTATGTAAAAAAAAAAAAAGAAAAAAAAAAGCTGATCATGTGTGGCCATTGCCCTAAATGGATTACGGAGATTGTTGACGAAATGTGAGTCATTATTGTCATCTTTCTAAGCTTTGTCAAGGCATGGTAGAAGACTTAGTGTACCTCATCAATCTATTTTTGAAAGAGTACCTCATCAATCTATTGGATGGGCTCTTTCATGGTCATGGTTCACATTAGATGATGTTGGACTGTATGTGGTCCATGTGGGGCATGGTTCACATTCATTGAACCTATGTCGTTTAGTCAACTCGTCCCACGCCAATGGCCGTAGGCTTATGTGCCAAATATTGAAGTTCACATCTGCGCCCCACAGAGTGTGCCTCAAAAATGCCTAACACGCACATCTCAGCATGCATTGGTGATATCTCCGTACTTGTCATAGGGAGATGTTCCTAATACATGATTGGGATGTGTTGTAAAACATTTTCAGGGCACTCTGTGGGGCGCAGATGTGAATTCCAAGTATTCATGTTCAAAGAAGTTATACCACGTTTTCCTCTGCGATAACAGAGTGCAAAACCTGTGGCTGTTCGTGAGACCCAATCAACACTATTTAGAAGCCCATACAGCCAAAGGTGAAGTTGAGCAAGCTAGGGGTGATAATTTCAGCCCGGCCCACAAATTCAAGGTTGGGCTTAGATTTTGTATTCAAGCTTGGCCCAGGCTTGGGTCCGCATAAAGCCCACAAATTTCAAGGCCAGGCCTGGGCCTAGTCCATACTACAAGCCCATCCTGGGCCCGGTCCTGCTTGACCAGGGAACTAGTCATATTACCATTTTTTTCATCACTCAGTTCGTTATTTTATAAAATATGTTGATTTGCTGGCAAAAGAATCGCTTACCAGGACAGTTACAGCAGTCCGCGGTTTTTTTTTTTTCGAGTTGGCCTCAACAAATCATTAAACAAATTGTGTGGTCACAGATTTATTCCTGTATCGTGTGAATTGTACAATGATTTCCACATAAGCCAAAACAGGAGACAAATTATTTCATTTCCAGGCCGCTTTTGAAAACATTGGTTCAAGTCAAACCAATTGAGGTCTGGCTCGTTGGTGTGTTAACTGGTTTTTTCCAGCATTGGAGTAGAATCAAATCCTGCAACCAACACTTTGGGAAAAAGAGAGAAGTTATTAATGGTACATGACACCGAATACTGAAAAAAAAAGTTTAAGGTAAGGTTTTTGTTTGGTTGCTTTGCACTGCTGCAAAGCTATGGTAATGCATATGGTTTGAGTGTGAATTTTGATTTACTTTTGTTTCAACTTTTACCTTATTATTTTGTTTGTTTGTAGTGCAAATTAAGTAAAATAATTTGTAGTACAAATTATTAAACCAGAATTATTATTATTTTCATTTGCACTATGTGTACTAGTGCAAATAAAATTGCACTGCAACCAAATACAGCCTATAGTATTTATCCCTTTTTATTTACACATATACATCATCTGAAAGTTGCAGAGACTGACGTGGAAAGAGTCAAGAGACCTAAATCTATAAGTTGGTAACTTGAGAATGGACAGACTTGCTCGAACTCAAAAATCTGTGCTTTGAAAGAACTCAAATAAAAATGGATGTAAAGAAAGGCTCAATCAATCACAAATATCGATAAATTGAGGTTGATCGATCCATATTTCATACAGGCTTCGGTGAATAAACTTAAATGTTAAATCAATTATCATATGGATTTAAACCCGAAGCCTTGAAAAAATTTAATCACCATAATATAATCTGAACATTATATACTGTTAACATTCCATATTTTCTAGGGGTAGCTCTGTAATCTGAATGAGACTAAAATTTCTAAAATTACACAAGTGGAGAACAGAGACCACCACAGCTATCGTGCTGTTGGCCTCGTAATGGACTCATCTAATGAGACGAATAGCCTGGACTCGCCTATGTTCCTGGAGCCGAGATTGGTGGAAGAGTGTAAAGAGTTGTTTGACATATTGTCAGAGTAACCTTCTCTTCTTGTTTCTGCTCCCCTCTCTATTGAAATTGCTTCTTGGATCTCCTTGAGCACTTCTGATATTGATGGCCTCGTATTCCCATGGGGTTGGACACACATCATCGCCTTTTCAGCAATCTTCCAAACTGATTGGATATCAAATTCGTTATGCAGCGAGGGATCAATGATTCCCTGAATGTCCCCTGTCTCTATGTGTGCCCTCGCCTATAATATTATCATTCCCATAGATTAACAAATAAGCAAACAAGAACGAAAAAAAAAATGCAGGATAGGTGAACCAAGAAAATCCGCAAGCTGTATATATATGTAAGAGAGAGAGAGAGAGAGAGAGAGAAGCTTCAATAGTAAACTTTGAACTAACCCATTGAACTATATTCCGGAAGTTCACACCAAAGCTTTCATTAGATATTACTTCTTGACCAGATATCAGCTCAAGAAGAACCACACCAAAACTATAAACATCACTCTTGTCTGTCAATTGCTGAGAGATGTAATACCTGTATATTAAGAGAAAAAATGGACATATCAAATACAGCCGCATGAAGACACAATGTAAAACTCAAATTCTTAAATAAATGGAACAAACATCAAGGTATATGCACATGTATTGCTATACTTATAGGACTCTTAAGACCCCGGAATCTTCTGTGTGGTAATTCATTCACCAGGTCTAGGGTCTAAACACCACCACCATGTTAGGATATGGTTTGAAGCCCAAAAGAGCCTCACTTGTTTGTCTGCTATAAAATTTCACCTTCAACACCCTTGACACATGTCCAAAATAAGCCTTGACCGGCAGCTTCTAAACTAAATGAAATTGGAAGGCTAAACCACATGGGAGAAAATGCCAATACGAAGTGGGTATAAGGCTGCATGGACTGGGGGATTGAACATGTGACCTCTAAAAGGTTTCCATGAACAGTTCAGATCACCAGCATCATGCCTCCAAGTGGCAGAAATAGGGTAAATTATGTAAAGAAGATACACATTTCTACAAAGTCATCAACACCAGAGCATATCTTCCACCTGCTCACAGAAAGGACATGAAAGGTCTAAAAATTGGCAGCATTAGTGGATCATATATGCATCAATGGCATCAAATCTAATTAGTATTAAAACTTATAATTTGATAAGTATGTTGTGGACAAATTCAAAAAAAAAATGTAATTATTCATTAACACTTGGCGAGAGAGACAGAGAGATGTGGGATTGTTTCTTTCCTAGATGTATGATTCATAAACTTATGGATCATGACCATAGATGTTCCTGTTTCAAAACCTCCTGACCCATGATTTAGGCACTAAGGTCAAAATATGCCAGAAAAGGCATAATGATTGCATTCCATTTGCCCAAATGTAAAGTGGGAAAATAGATTTAATAGTTGACAGAAACCACTAATCAATCAGGATCAGTTTTACAGAATACTACCTTTTCAAAGCTGGTTTTTAACAAGACAAATTCAAGTGGTAATTGCTTCTGAACCTTAACACAGGAATCTTGAATTTCAGATCATAAAATAGAACTGCCTGAATTTAAACATTTAATAAAAAGGAAATGTTCCACCTCATTATGCAGCCAACCTTTTATGTACTGCTTGAATTACATTTATAAAATAAAAAAAAAATCCACCTCATTATGCACTCTACCTTTTACTGGCACACCTAATCTTCCCCCTCCCTGATGTCATTCCCATAGTTGTTGAGGCATGTAGGCAAATATAGGTGACAGAGGAGCATCTTATCAGTTATCACCTAGTCTTCTAGGTACCTACCTAGATGATGGATTTTGACAATGAATGAAGTATGTTTTTCCAATGTTGACATGGAACTATTTATCCTTTTATATTATTTTATATTGAAAGAATTATATAAAGATAGGAAATGATGCCTACATACTAAATCACTAATCACTATCAGCCATTAATTACAATATTCCATAAACATAGTGCCATACAATCATTTCATATATAGCAATGCGGCAATAAACCAAGCAAAAAGCAAAACAGAGTACAAAATACATATACTGAAATAAACAATTTTTTTAAACTACATGAATTCAGGGCCAGATCAACTTTGCTAATTGTTGAGCAAGAGCAAGTGAAGAGAGGAGAGAAGAAGAGAGAAGAGAGGTGAGTCGAGTGACTAAAAGCCCTCCAGAACGTAGGGGGCGAAAGAATGATTTTATTATTTATATTAGTACAGTCGAACAATATAAACAAAGGAGAAATTACAACAGTACCCTTATGGTACTAAACCTGAATACATAAACAACTGTCAACACTCCCCCTCAAGTTGGAGCATAGATATCAATCATGCCCAACTTGTCACAAAGATCATGATGTCTGGAAAGGTTTAAACCCTTTGTAAAGATGTCTGCAAGCTGGTTCTCAGAAGTGACATA